GACGTGGTCATAATGACAATGCCACAAACACAGAGAAACCACTGCAAACGGTGTCCATGCCAACTTGAGTAATAGGTTTTCTTAAAGGCGAGCCCGAAAAAGTATGCTATGCTTTTCAGGCAGCACATATTTCCTCAATTCCCAGCATTTCAAGCGCATAGGTTTTGAATTTTGTGCTACTGCTGCCACAACCATTGACTTTAAGGCCTTGTGTTTAAATTTCAGTCAACTTTCGCACTTCAGCGCGCTTTTCCTGTGACACGCATCCTGTTTATAAGGCAACATTCAATCGACTTTGTGGAAATCAAGACGGAAGCTGCTGGAAACTGGAAACTTTGGGCACTTTGGCAACCGCCGGCTACACTTTTGTTTTACCCAGCCGAATTGTGTGCAGCAAGCAGGGCAACTCAAATTACCCCATTACCTGGCCAAAAGTGCTACCCTGCCTCCGAGGAGGCCCCTTTCTAATTTCTAACACCGGGCCGCTCTTGAATTTCCATCTGCTTTTTCAATTTGCGCTCACGACTCGAAAACAATATGGCAAAAGTTATGCGCCTCGAAATTTCCAGCACGGAACTGTACCGGAGAACAGCCAACTTTTTGGCCCGGCACCCGCACCCGCATCCGCACCCCATCCCGTTAAAACCACCGCTCCTGGCTCATAAGTTGTCGGGTTTCGCATCCTCCTGCCGCCGCATTTCCACTTTACACACGAAATAACGAAATAAACGTGTTGAAATTTAACTAAAATTAATTTGCCAAAAATCAAGGCAAAAGTTTTGCGCCATTTTTGGCCTCTGATTTACTTGACTCCAACACTCCACCACTCCACCACACCACTCGGGAAAACTCCCCCATTTGTTCGCCCCTGGACAGGGTCATAAATTTCACCGGGATTTTGGGCAACCGAGAGCCCTTTTGTCAATTCCAAAGTAATTCGATGGCAAAACAAGACATCCTGGGTGTGGATGTCCTGTGCTGGGGAATACCGACCATTGCTTACAGGGGAAGCTGTTCACTTGGTCACTGGAAACGGGCTACTGGATGATGGGATGATGGGATGCTGGGATGCTGGGATGCTGGGAGACTGGGTGATGACCCCGAAAACTAGATCGATTACACAGCTGGGAATTCGGCAAATGGTTCTGGGTAGTTCAAAGGGTCAATTGGTCTGCAACATTCAGTGTAAGCTAATGTTGAATGGAATCGATTGCAGTTTTGCTTCATTTAATTGCACAGAGCGTTCACAATGCTAATTCAATTTACTTATTTATTGCTGGCAAATTAATTGCTTTGCCTTGCTGGGAGTTTCGTTTGCATTTCAATTTTGGGCTAATTGCCCATGATTTTTGAAAGCACTTCCAAGTTGTTTAAGTATAGCAAGTCACTCATTCGCCATATTTATTCCCGATTGATTCTGGATTGTTTTCCCATATCTTGGACCCGTTCAACCATCACTAATTCTCCGCCGTGCAGTTCGATCCATATATCCGTATCGCAGTGGCAGCCACTCGACGATTTCCCTGGGAAATGCAGATGGAAATGGGGTATAGAGTCTCACTTGGCAATTAGTTTAGTGGCTGCCAGCCCGCAGAGAAAACACAAAATTAGCGGCAGACTATAAGCGCAGCAGATCCGCATGCCGCATGCCGCATGCCACATGCCACATGCCCCCACTCGAATGCTACCCGTATCCGGGATTCGTATCCGTCCGGATTGCGGTGCATTTTTGCGAGGCAGAGTGTGCGCGAAGTAATTTGCATATGTATTGCGATGGCATTTGCATTTATGCATGTCGACATCACCCGCTACAAAGTTCCACCACTGGCATCCAACCCCCCAACCCCCAACCCCCACATCCCACGCCCCTGTGTTTTTTGCATTTGCACATTTGCGGTCATGTTTATGCGCGCCAGTTAATCGATTATGCACGGGCTGAGTGAGCAGCGCCGGAAATGTGCAAATGCTGTACTTCCGCTTTAGCCGCCGGCCAAAAAACGACAAAAACAACAAAAAAAATAGTAACGAGCTCCACCTCTGCCCCACCGCTTTGCTGGCACTTTTTCATTTGACATCCTTTGTGTCGCAGCGAGGTGTGAAAACGGAAATCATTATCGCGTTGCTGTCATCTCTTTACCAGCCGACACTTGCCAAAGGACCCACTTTTCAGGCAGCCACTGTCCTGTGTCCTTTCTGCGACGATAACTATTCATACCCTGGAATATTTGCATATTTTCTCTTTACAGTGGCATATTTCTATACTTGTATTGTGCATTTGATTAGCTCCTAGCTTGTTGATATATACTTTTGTGTAGTTCGAACTAATTTCATATTACAGAGCACTACATTTTCGGCTAGGCATCTGGGTTTTTCCACCATTCATTCACTGCATTCATTTTTGCGGTTGTTTATTCAAACATTTATCGCCCGGAGCAGCATGTCCGTATCACACATTTCGCTAAATAAATATTGCAAATTTGTGCATTTGGCCAATGCGGGTGTTTAGCACTCATGCACTCATGCACTCATGCTCATTCACTCGTACTCATGCACTCACACTCACACTCATTCAGCCGCCCATATTAAATTATTCAAATATGATTTTTGTATTGATTGCGTTTCTATTTGTTGCATACTTAATTCCAATTACAAAGCTGCAACTTTAATGGAAATTGCTCCGAAATGTCACGTTGCACAATTATAAATATTTAACAAATTATTAATAAAACCAGAACCAATTTCTGGACTTTCTGGCCATACATAAAAGATGGCCAAATCGATTTCATGGCCCAAACACCATCGATCTTGGCCTGCCACCCAGTTCGATTTATATTCCTCGCCCAGTTGGCGATGCTAATCGATGTGCATTTGTGGCTTACATCACTAATCCGCCCCCATTTCGATGCGGCACAAGGCGCAGGGCGTGGCAAGGGGGCGTGGCATAATCACTGGCCGTTTATCAAGCATGCACTGCGATGTGTGTGCGGACCAAGAAGCAGCAAACAAGCCGAAGGATTCAAGGATTCCAGTATACAAGATACAAGGATTCAAGGATACAAGCTGCAAGGAGTCACCAGTGAAGGAAGCCGATGGCACGTCTGAGAAATGGCCTGTTTGGATCTGGATCTGGATCTGTATCGGGATCTGCATCTGGATCCGGGCAACAAAGTTAATTGAGCAAGCCGGCTGGCGAGGCGAGCTGGCCACAGTTGAAATCCAATTTGTCTGGCAAATACACAAATGATGGTCCGCCCAACTCCTTTGTCTCCCTTGGCTCCTTCGCTGGCCCGGAGTGGCCGCAACCGGAACATCCGGCGGGGAAACGGCAGCAGAAGCAGCAGGAGTGGGAGCAGCAGGAGCTGGAGCAGCAGGAGCTGGAGCAGCAGGAGCTGGAACAGCAGGAGCTGGAGCAGCAGGAGTGGCAGCAGTTGGGCATTCAAGGCAGCATCATTCATCTGCCAGGGCCAAAAAAACGGATGCAAGCCGTGAAAGAATCACCAAGATGCCATCGCTGCCGGGGGGCGGGCGGGCAGAGGCGTGGCCATCTTGCCGGCACTATCGCCAACAACAACAACAACAGCAACTCCAGCAGCAACAACATCGGAAAAACAGCCAACGGACACGAATCCCAGCGGGCGGCCAATTTCCCTTTCGCACAGGACATCTCCTCTTTGCTTTGTGAATATTTCAAAAATTGCTGCAGCAAAGGCGTTGCACTTGGAGAAATGTTGGGAAATCTTTAACATATTCATATTTACCTATTATCTCTTAAAGTAGCATTAAAAAGAACGCCGGGAAAGCTCTTCGCTTTGATATTAACCAATTTCAGTCGCATTTATGGTGATTTCTTGTGGCACTTCAAACAATTCAAACAAATAGCGCACATTTTCGCACAGTGCTGCAACAGCAGGCTGAAGTTGAATTTCTGTCTTGGCAGCAGCACTAAAATCAACAAATTTTTCAGGCCCCCCCAGAAAGGCAGCTGCAATCTACGAAAATAATACCCTGCCATCGACTAAGTGGGCCCATAATGTCGGGATGAAACAGTGAGCGTGTAAGGGTGTACAAATAATGGATGACTGTGGAGTCCTGCGGAGTCCTGCGGAGACTGGGGCCGATATGCATCTGACAGCATTATGGGTAAATTTGTTTGCCTTGTAAGCATATCCTTGGGCGCACATCCGGCTGGGGATATGTCTACCATCTGCCTAACAAGCCAACAACAGTTTAGTTTGCTCCATTTCCGTCCTCCTCGTCTTTGTCTGACTTCTGTTTGTGGCTCCGGCTGCTGGAATCTGAAGTCTGAAATCTGGAAGTAGAGTGTGGAGTGTGGAGTTTGGAGTCTGGAGACTGGAGACCACCGTCAACATGATCTGCGCCCAACTTAATCTGCATATGCGACCAAGCATTTGGACGACGCTGCCAACATAAATTGCCGGGCAACGAGTCCGAAATCAGGACTCAGTGCCTCCGGTTTCGAAACCAATTCACTGGCAAAGCAAAAGGCTGGCCGATGTGCTCAAAGATACGCCAGTTCCAAAGCATTTAACTGGATGGGATACCGCATAGTAAGATCCTAGATTTAAATGTAGTGTTTCAAGGTTAACATATACTATGTGTCCTGTGCTGTGTTATCAATTATCAATCAATTTCCCCAACTCCCAGTGATGTTCCTTCAACACATGCTCGCCGTCACTTGCCCATTTCGGCGTAAATCGAAAACGTTTCCCACTCGGATCGTAAAATCCGGCCGTAAACCGGGCAGCGTCATCAAGTGCGTATCCGTCCGCATCCTTGGCTGATGACTCGTCAATAAAGCAAATAAAAGATGCGAGAGGAGCTGTTACACATGTCGGTTCGAAAGGTGTCCGCTCGGAAAATGAGTAAATATCCGCTGAATCAGGATTGCCGGAATCAATGCATCAGCATGTCTCTCTGCTAAAGTACGGGTGTAGCATGGAAAAATGAAACAGCAAAGCTGAAGTTGAACTATTATCGTAACCCGTTTGTGCATATTTACATGGTATTTAAACATAGCAATTTCTCTTACTGGCAAATCTATTATTTACATAGCATTGTGGGATTTGTTTCGATGGAAATATTCTCGGTATTTTGGCAAATTTCGAGTCACAATGCAGGTTTCTCTCTGGTAATTGAGTCCTTGGGCGGAAATCCGTTAGTGAACTCGCAATGCGGACGCTTTCCCAGCCGAAAGATCATGCACAGTCGACCTTTTCCGCGCGGCTTTTTCCTGGCCATTTCCATGCGGTTACCCTGCACATCGTGTGCTTCCAATCCACCTGTGGCTGCATTTTCCCCTGCCAGCACAATTTCCGCACTCTTCTGATCGTCCACCATTCTGCACAGGTGGTATAAATAGACCAATGTTAAGGATACATTCCTTAATGTAATCATTTTACCTGCACGTCGATGATGTTGAGATTTCGATATTGGTTTCCCCTTTTTTTGCTGACAATAATGTTGACAATAAAGTCGGTGGCATAATGACTTGTGCCTTGCTCGGAATTTTTGGGGCACCACCTGCCACGCCTACTGCTGCGGAGTGGGCGCCCATCAATCCAGCCAAGAAGATGACATTGTGCAGATGCCTCATGGCGGCGTGTATGCTTATCCGCTAACTTTGTCACAGTTAAATGACAATAAATGTCACACAAAACGCCATAAGCACTCACACACATGCAGTCCGTACACACACACACACACACACACACATATATATATATATATATACTTATGTATACACTGATAGCAGACGACAAGGACATAAAAGGCAAAAGTTGTGTTCGCCAGCGACAGCAGCGCATAAAAGTTTTCCCTTTCCCGGCTTTTCCTACCTTTTGGCCATGCCAACATGCTCGTCTTTTTTTTCTTTTTTTTTTTGCTTGATACCCTCACAAAAAGTACTCGAGTCTATAAAAGTAAAATGAATATCTGTAAAATCCAGTTTGGTTACTTTCTTTTTGAGAATTAGTACAACATTTTGCTGGCTGAAGAATTCGCGTGACTTCGCTTCACTTGCCTAGGCATTCGTTTAGTTAGGGTATTTAAGCCGGCGTTTCGTATCATTAGTTTTTTGCTCCTGGTTTTCATTTTACTTCTATCATGTTTCACTTTTTTTTTTTTGTACGTACTTAAGCCAGTGACGGAGGCACGTCATAACTTGGCCGTAAAACAGCTGACAACTTGGAGCAGAGAAGAGGGATGTGTTTTGGCACCTCACCTCCAACACTGGCCCTCTCTTTCTGCCCCGGTTCTGCTGTCTCTTTCTGCGCCAGCCAGTTGTTTTAGTGGCTTAATGTGCTAAACAACTGCTCGACATGGGACAAAGGCAAAGGCAAAGGCAAATTCGAAGGCGAAGGAATTGAATGCCGGATGAATTTAGGGACTAAGAAAAGACACTCACCCGGGCTCTACCTGCCTCTCTTTCGCTCCCAGTCTCCCCCTCTCTTTCACCCCACTAATGGCTGTGTGTGTGTGTGTGTGGGAGCACGTCGAGAGCTGGCCGCAATAAAAAACGTCATGCGGGTAGCTGTTGCTTTGTACTATCTCCGTGCCGCCCAATGCAGCACTAACACACAGGGAAGTACAGTCACACCCCATTTGAATGAACTTAGTAGATCAAGTTTTGTGAAAATATGTAGTTCTGTAGAGCGCACACATATTGTATGCAAACAAAACGCGAATTCTTCAGGATTGTGCAGTTTTCAACCGAATGAAGGCGTACGGAGTGCGTACTGTAAATCCCAGTTGAAGTATCTGGCGCTTCTCGCTCAATTTGGCAAATTCCCTCATGCACTCCACTCATTTCTAGTTTGCCTACTCGAGTCTCGATTCGTTTGTCATTCATCCAACGGCCTCCTCCTTTGCTTTCCCCGTTTTTCTCGCTTTCCTCGCTTTCCCCGCTTCTCCCGCTTTCTTTGTGGACAAGGCTTTGTTTTCCCCCTTTTCGAAGGACCCATCGTAGGCTCTGATTGTTTGTAAATAAAATCGCAAGTTTTATTGTCGCTGGGCAAACTTTGATTAAGAGCAGCGTCAAAGTATTGTAAAAGTCTAAGTAGAAGCAGGGCGAAATTAAATTTTCAAGGCAGCCGAGTACTGGAAAGAAAAATCCTCCCAACTAGTGGTAGTTGAGTGCTTTGGAGCGCCACGGAAATCTGCACACACAAAACATATCAGTGAGTTGGAAAGTTGAAAAACAAATACCGAATTCGACAAACTTTACAAATTGAGAGAAATTGGCAGTTTTGACGGCATTTTTATTCGCATGCAATATTATTTCGTTATTTGTTCACTTCTTTCGGTTTGCCAGCATCTGCACTTTGCAAAAAAACTGGGTATCATTTCTTTCAATCAAAAAATATTGCTCTAGGAATTTTGTTTTATAAAGAAAATCCAATTTTCCGCCAACAAAATATCCGAATTTTTCGCATAACAATCGACAAAATTGTTCAAACGTGGAATGTCATACCTCGATGAGCTCGTAATTAAATTTCCAATCGAACTGTGTTCAAAAATGGGAACTGAATTTTTTAGCCATTTTTTGCAAATTTTGATGATGTTACCCCTTACAAAAAATGCAAAAATTGACCCAAAAATAAATTTTCCTAAATCCGTCAAAAAGTGATTGGGTTAGTTAGCATTGGTAATTAGCTGTTCAAAACTGTTATTCTTTCATCTTTATGATCATTTTTAACGAAGTTATGATGAAAATTCCGATCGAAAATATCCAATATTTGCCAAAAGTGGTTTTTTGGAATTTCCGTCATAAAATTATCAGTTTTTTGGTCACAACTTCAAAATTAATTGTCTGAATATGGAATGCCATACATCGTTGAGCTCGTAATTAAATTTCCAATCGAACTGTGTTTAAAAATGGGAACTCAATTTTTTAGCCATTTTTTGCAAATTTTGATGATGTTACCCCTTAAAAAAAATGCAAAAATTGACCGAAAAATAAATTTTCCTAAATCCGTCAAAAAGTGATAGGGTTAGTTAGCATTGGTAATTAGCTGTTCAAAACTGTTATTCTTTCATCTTTATGATCATTTTTACCGAAGTTATGATGAAAATTCCCATCGAAAATATCCAATATTTGCCAAAAGTGGTTTTTTGGAATTTCCGTCATAAAATTATCAGTTTTTTGGTCACAACTTCAAAATTAATTGTCTGAATATGGAATGCCATACCTCGTTGAGCTCGCAATTAAATTTCCAATCGAACTGTGTTTAAAAATGGGAACTCAATTTTTTAGCCATTTTTTGCAAATTTTGATGATGTTACCCCTTAAAAAAAATGCAAAAATTGACCGAAAAATAAATTTTCCTAAATCCGTCAAAAAGTGATAGGGTTAGTTAGCATTGGTAATTAGCTGTTCAAAACTGTTATTCTTTCATCTTTATGATCATTTTTACCGAAGTTATGATGAAAATTCCCATCGAAAATATCCAATATTTGCCAAAAGTGGTTTTTTGGAATTTCCGTCATAAAATTATCAGTTTTTTGGTCACAACTTCAAAATTAATTGTCTGAATATGGAATGCCATACCTCGTTGAGCTCGCAATTAAATTTCCAATCGAACTGTGTTTAAAAATTGATTGATTGACTTTATGATCATTTTTATCGAAGTTGTGATGAAAATTCCCATCGAAAATATCGAATATTTGCCAAAAGTCGTTTTTTGGAATTTCGGTCATAAAAGAATCCGTTTTTTGGTCACAACTTGAAAAATAATTGTCTGAATTTGGAATGTTATACCTCGTTGAGCTCGTAATTTAATTTCCAATCGAACTGTGTTCAAAAATGGGAACTCAATTTTTTTTCCATTTTTTGCAAATTTTGATGATGTTACCCCTTAAAAAAAATGAAAAAATTGACCCAAAAATAAATTTTCCTAAATCGATCAAAAAGTGATAGGGATAGTTAGTATTGGTAATTAGCTGTTCAAAACTGTTATTCTTTCATCTTTATGATCATTTTTACCGAAGTTATGATGAAAATTCCCATGGAAAATATCGAATATTTGCCAAAAGTGGTTTTTTGGAATTTCCGTCAAAAAATTATCAGTTTTTTGGTCACAACTTCAAAATTAATTGTCTGAATATGGAATGTCATACGTCGTTGAGCTCGTAATTAAATTTCCAATCGAACTGTGTTCAAAAATGGGAACTCAATTTTTTTTCCATTTTTTGCAAATTTTGATGATGGGTAACCTTAAAAAAAATGCAAAAATTGACCCAAAAATAAATTTTCCTAAATCCATCAAAAAGTGATAGGGTTAGTTAGCATTGGTAATTAGCTGTTCAAAACTGTTATTCTTTCATCTTTATGATCATTTTTACCGAAGTTATGATGAAAATTCCCATGGAAAATATCGAATATTTGCCAAAAGTGGTTTTTTGGAATTTCCGTCAAAAAATTATCAGTTTTTTGGTCACAACTTCAAAATTAATTGTCTGAATATGGAATGTCATACGTCGTTGAGCTCGTAATTAAATTTCCAATCGAACTGTGTTTAAAAATGGGAACTACATTTTTTTTCCATTTTTTGCAAATTTTGATGCTGTTACCCCTTACAAAAAATGCAAAAATTGACCCAAAAATAAATTTTCCTAAATCCGTCAAAAAGTGATAGGGATAGTTAGCATTGGTAATTAGCTGTTCAAAACTATTATTCTTTCATCTTTATGATATGAAAAAGTTGTTTTTCGGATTTTCCGTCAGAAAATAATCAGTTGTATGATCTCAGTGTATATCCATATTCCTTCGGATGCTTTTTTCCCGTTACCGTCTTTCTATGCGTTTGTTTTCCATTTCACCTGCCCAGTTTTTCGTACTCATCGTTGGCATTTCCAAAAATGGAGTGCCACGTGACTCCTCGATGGGGGAACTTGGTGGGGGAACTATGTGGGTGGGGTTGGGTTGGCGTCGCTTTTGCATTGTTTCGACGGGGCGGACAAAGCACACAAATAACTGTCAAAGTTTCAATTCTTTTCGAAAGTAAAGCCCGGATAAAAAGAAGATAAAAAAACGAGAAACTGAATCCGAATACGAAAGCAAACAAAGGCAGAACAATGGTCGAACAAATTGAAAGCTCTCGATTGGTATTCCTCTATTCCGCACTTGTTTTCCCACTTTTCACTTTTCATTAAAACAGAAGCAGCACGAAATCGTTGGAAAACAAAAAATACCCCCAAAAAATAGGCGGAACTAAAAATTGAAGTCGCTCTACAAATGGAGAAACTCAGCATGGCCAGTGTCGTTTACTTACAGACCATCAAAGTTTAATTAATGAAACGATTAATAGTTAAATCGATGCATTCGTTGAAGTGCCGATCACTCGGTCGCCCCATTATCCTTATTGCCAGGATAATGGCGTACTGTCTACTGACACGTTAATGCACACACACATGCATACACCATGTGCCACATAAATCCCCCTTTCGCCGACATGCAAAGTGCAACACTTCTTCGTGCTTCGAACAATTTTAATTATTTCCACACGCAGCAGCGAGCAAGTCCATGGAAAGTGGGGGCGCCTCCCCACTTGGAGGATGTATTCTGAAAACCCGACCGCAGGGAGTGTGTGTTGTTGGCTTTAACGGGGAATTAAGTCGGGCAACAGGAAGTCAGCGAGCACAATAATTAAGATGAGCGCTCGAGGGGCAATTATGTGACATCAACTTGCCAATTTCAGTGCCCCCACCCCCGCCGCTTTTATCCTGCAGTCGAAGGATAATGCGAACGGCTTGGCCAACAGTGGGCCGTGCTGGCAATCCAACAAACGAAATGCATTCAAGGTGTGCTATGAAGTGCACAAAGGCTTTTAACAACTGCATGCTTTTCAACATTTTAGAGTACTGCCGAAGGATCAGAAGTTGGTGTAGCTTTTCGGATCCAGTAGGCCCCGTCTCCAACTGGCAGCACTTCATCCCAACTCATCGTCTGGGACACACACGAAACGTTTGCTCTACAATTCGGTCTATAGCACTAAATCTCCGATAAGCTACAGCGGCAAAGTATCGCGCATACAAGCCCAGATATTTAATTAATATCCAAATTTTCCACTGATCCTCCTTCAGAATGAGCTCGGAATCACCGAATGAAGCGGACGCAGTGGAACCCGTAAGTGCCCAGCGGTTGGCTTTGGACCGGGCTCTCGTCAGGCTGGTGTACCAGGCCCGTCGTCTCCATTTGAACAGCGTGGACTGCTATGGATCGCTGGAGGAATCGCTGGAGAAGGCGGTGCCAGAGTTGCTCAAGCCCGGCAATGAAGCCGCACACTCATCCACCACAGCGACCAGCACGGCAAGGCCCTTCCCCAAGCGAAAGCCCAGTAGTCAAGTCCGAACAGTGGGCAAGCCCTTCAAACTACGCAAGGCTGTTGCGCTTCTGAGGACGCCACGTGGCGTCCAGTGTATGACCGCCCATCTGCCGGTGCCGCCACCACCACCGCCGCCATCACCGCGATGCCCACAAGCCCGGGAACTTGCCATAGCCCTGGAGAGGGCCGACCATCTGAGGATCGAGTTCGCCCAGACGGACGCACTATTGGAGCAGCTGCTATTCGACGCCAAGGCGCTCGAACGCCAGCTGGCGATCCAGTGTCAGTTGCAAAAGGATGCGGAGATAATTCGCAGTCTGGAGCTGGAGTACAATGGGCGATCCATGATGTATCTGATAGGGGCCATTCAGTCGGACTGCGAGAGCCAGCATGTCCAGGAACTCTGGAGGCGATGCCATCGCTCGTTGGAACGCCACTCAGAGCGACAGATGCAGCTGGAGTCCAAAGGCGATCCGTATCTGGATCTGGATCTGCATCAAGACGAGGGCAACGGCAAGGGCACCCAAACCGATCTTTCTCATTATCAGGGCATGATCGAATTCGATTTGCCAATGGAGGCGCAGCAGGGCGTAGTCCTTAGGACAGCAGGCTCAGGAGCAAGCGATGGCCACCAAGTCCAGCTGAATGTCCCGGGCAAAGCCAGCCTTGGGTAGTATTTGAATAAAGATGCACAACTCCGAAATCACTTGGTGTTCTGCTGTTGGTAGGCTTCCGAAAATTGTATATGCACATTTTGTACTGCTTCGACGTATGTCCAAGCCTTAGTAGAGCTCAGTAATTAAAGGGAAGTCATATTTTGCATTCAATTAATTAAAAGAAATTATAAATTACGCACTTACTTTCGCGTGAAAATACCACTGTGCCACGGCAACTTTGTGTCTGCCTTTTGAGTCGGTGTGTGAGGAAAGTTTTCTTGTTAAGTTGCAGATTGAATGGCGACGGTAAACACGGCGCGGCAAGTGCAGGGATCCCGGTTCGCAGCTTCCAGCTCCCCAGCTTGCCAGCTTTGAGGACACCATGCATCCATGCCTCTGATTGAGCCAAATCCTGGCTCATAACTAATTGCCACCACCGACGACGACGGCGGCGCTGGCAGCGGTGCAAAGTTTAAATTAAGTTGCGTGTCATAGTCGAAAAGTTTTCCACTTATTCAAAAAGGCACGTGCTCCACTGAGCGCCACACCATGGAGAAACTGCTGTCCTCCACTGGCCAACAGCGCCAGCAACGGCGCAGGATTGACAAAAGAAATAATAACCAACGGATGGGAAATATGCATTACTGCTTTTGCACGTAAAGCACGTAAAGTGACAAAAATAATGGAGAATCCACAAATCACAAGGAGCTGCTGGTAAAGTTTAACCACTTAAAACAATCAAGTAATTTAAAATGATAAGTTAACTGAAACACACACAGGACGCAACAATGCAAATCGCTTGCTTAAATGCCTCGGTAAAATATCTAGTTAAAGATTTTAGATTACATCACTTGGTTATTCCAACTAATAAATAGGCTTCGTTTATTTAGACATTTAATCAAATGCATAACATTTAAATGGAATTTTCTCTGCATGTGCAACCTCTTACCGCCATCACACACAGTTTTGTTGGGTTTATCACACTTCATCTTAGGATCATTTCCAGTTGATATATGTAGCCAGTGAATCAAACACTTGAAGCTCCTCCGTCTCCTCAATTCGTTTTCACCTTTGCCTGAGGATGCGTCTGCGGCGATGTTGACGGCGACTCATCGAAGTCCAGGTAATCTGCGTAGTCACGTCGCTTGGACAGCGACAAGGTCCAGCAGATGATCCACAGGGGCAGGAAGATCGTGCAGATGACAAAGTACAGCCAGTTGCCATAGATCTGCAATAGAAAAGTATTCATGTTTATCATAGATGTATATTAGTAGTGGCAACTCAAATCCTAGCTCACCACGGAATCGATGAGCCCATAGGCCGAGGCGTCCATGGCCGCGGTGGCCGCCCTCAGCATGATCTTCTGCAGCGGCAGCTCCGGAAACTGGTACAATGTCATGGCCAGCACGATCACATAGATGACCATCATGGGGTTCATGGCCAGCGTGGCCAAGCGGATCGTGTTCCTCAGCGTGCTGCGCGTGTTCTCCTCCTTGGTCTCCAGCGCGATGACCAGCGGCACAGTCAGCACTGCCGCAAAGAAGCCCAGGGCAAAGTTGAGCAGCCCGATGACGATCAAGGCGCAGCCATAGATGAGCAGGAAGGCCACGTGCAGCAGCTCCAATCCTCCGGGCGGCAAAACCACCACAAAGGGCAGAATGAAACCGATCAGAGAAAGGAAGCTCAGCACTGAGGTGGTCAGCGGTGCGGCGCCCATGGGAATCTCCAGGAAATATTGCTGCAGGGGCAGCACATTGCACAGGAAACCAATCAGTAGGGTGGCAGTGAGGTATATCAATACCGATCCATACGGCAGCTCGAACTTATCGGGATCTAAGTTCTCCTGTTCCACTTCCGCCACCTGTTCTTGCTCCTTAGGCCAGCCTGCCGCCCTTTCCAGTTCAGCGTTGGTCGCGGGCAGCGTGGACCACGTTAGATAGGCCTTCAGGAAGGCACACGCTACCAGAGCCACCAAAGCGGGCATATAATCCCCGATGGAGATGTAGCGATCGTTATTCACGAGCACATAGAAGAAGAAGCTTTGATGGAAGCGCTCCAGCAGGTTGTTCAGACTCCTGGCTATTCCCTCGATGGCTTTCAGCAAAGGCACCGCTGCCGATCCTGGACTGCCCTTCAGTGTGGCATGGGTGGCCCTCCGATTGGCAGCTATGGTCAGAGCATCGATCCGATAGCGGTGGAACAGTCCATGATTGCCAGTGGGTACGCCCGACGACTGGCTGGCTAGCATGGTCAGCATCTGGCGGAGATTCTGCTCGAAGTGCGATTGGCTGTGACGACGCTTCTTGCGCGGCGCTTGCTTATACCCAGAGGTGATGCCCTCGCGAGCCATAATCCTCTGCACTAGATTGAACATATCCAGATTGGGCAACTTGCCGTTCAAACCCTCAATTCGCACATCCACATGATCGATCTCCAGATCCTGAACTTCAATATTCAGAGCCGCCTGCAGCGAACCAGCGCGAGCGGGCAAATTGCCAGGACGCAGATACGCCTTGCTCACGTCCAGATCCCGGTCGCCATCGTGGTACGCCTCCAGCCAGGCCTGCATGCCCAGCTGCTCCTGTTCGGTGACCAGGAAGATCAGATCCTTCGCCCAGTAGTTCTTGCGCCGGGCAAAATCGGCGAAGGCCAGCAGAAGCGGCACGCTGGCGGCAATGTCCGAGTGCACAGAGCTGGCAGCGCGATAGGGAGCCGCAAAAACGATGCCCTCGGTGGAGGCAATTCTTGGTGCCCTCAATATGCCATAGATATTCTTGCCGTGATACTCCTTGCCGCCGCCAAACGGATAGCGCAGCGTGTAGTTGTGGGTGTGCGTCTCCAGGCCGAACTCGTTCATCTTGGCCGCAATCCAGGCGTGCGGCGTGGTGGACAGATGATCCTTGCGCTCTCGCTGCAGCTCCTCCAGCAGCTGAATGGCCAGACGATTCGCATCGATGCGGATTTCCGGATAGACCAAGCCTGCAACACGTAACACCAATTGTTAGCGGGTACCTTTCGGTGACGGTGCAATGAACTCACCTGGCGAGAGGGCATTCTCGGAGAGATATGTGCCGTGGTTGAACTCCGGCAGCGCCAAACAGAAGAACCAGGCCACACCCGCCACATAAAGGGCGTAGCACACCTTGCGGACATGGCGCGCCAGTCCATCCACCAGCTTGCTTTGCGTCGATATCGACGGATCGGACAGTAGGCCCATTTTGGATGCCCTATATCCTGTATATATCCCGAATCACAACAACACGAATCGGACAAGCCGGTGGAATTGTATCGATGCGGGCGTTATCGATAACGCCGATAGCCGATTGTGTGCAACACTAGGGAGGAGTGTTGCTTGCAATGATTTTAAAAGCTCGAAACTTAAAATTGATTTTCCAATATTTTTCATATTTCTAATTATTTCATAATTTATTATTCCAAAATATACACATTAAGTTACCCTTTTTTTAGTTTTATTTGACACTAAGTAAGTGTACACAGAAAATGTGTTAAAAAAATGAGCTGTAGATAATAATTGTTATACCCCTTACTCGTAGAGTGAATGGATATACTAGATCCGTTGAGCAGTATGTAACACGTAGAAGGAAGCGGCTCCGACCGTATAAAGTATATAAATAAGTATATACGCAGCGCCAAAGTCTTGAAAAAATTTTACATATTTTTATTTTTTTCTTCACAATTTCTACCGATATTCCAGAAAATTATGAAATTTCTCGTTTGCACTTGCACTAGCTGAGTAACGGGTATCTGATAGTCGGGGAACTCGACTATTGCGTTCTCTCTTGATTTTCTTTTCTTCTTATTTATGACGTTAATGTAACGAAGCACTTATTTAAGACAGAAAGTACAACCAAAGACTCCATAGTTTCAGTTTGGAGTCTACAGTGATTTGGGTTTAAGTAGTTATAGATATTTTGAATACATTTCAACAACCCAGTTTTCAAATTTTTGAATGGTTGTTTACAATTCCCTTTCCAAAAAAAATTAGCTAATACATATCCAACGGAAGTACACGTTTGGTTCAATCACTAAGAGTTACAACAGCCTATCCGTAAGACTCCTTAACTAAAAAAAATAGTTATGAACCAAATGTTAAGTAATACATTGCTTAATGTTGTTAAACCCCCTAATGGTTCCGTTTTAGATAAATATACATTTTACATTTGGAGGGGAGCAGCAATAGCCTACTTCTATGCTTTCCTATAAAATACAAAAAAAAAATCCTAATCGTTATCATCGTCTATAACAATTATTTGCGATGACTGCAGGACGGCGTCCCGAGGTTCCGTATGCTAGCCGGAAATTCCCGGAGCTTTGGCCACTGCCGCTGCACTGTGCGGACTCCAGACGAGGTAATCGGTGTCGATGGTCAGCTTGGGCTGCTTGAACTGCGGCAGCTGTAGATGGTCATGAATGGTCTTGGCCGTAACGCAAATGACATTCTGTCCCTTCCAGTACTTGATCATCTTCATGGACTGCAACGTGTAGATAATATCGTCGTGGGTAATGCCACTCATTTCGCTCAGCTCCTTGATGGTGATCTGCTCTGGAGCGCAGCGGTTTTTCATCAGCTCAAGCAGCGTGTATGCCCAATAGCTTCGATAGCTCAGTCTGCCCAGATCCGAGAGCGGCTTCTCCGGACTACCGATGACACCCTCCTTGCGCGACAGCTCATAGCTAAAGGCAATTAGCAGCTTTCCAAATCCCTTGCGCTGATGCGGCGGCAATACCAGAATGCAAGCCACATTATAGTTCTCCAGCGACTTCTTTTCCTTGGAGAAGTAGCCCACAATGTGGCTGCCCTCCTTGTCTGTCTCGCACAGGATGTAAAAGAAGAATGGGTCCATGTCGAAGTACAGAACCTTGTGGTCGAGGAAAAGCTTGGCCATTAGGCACAGAAGCTGACAGTAAAGCGACTCCTCCTTGCCGTTTACCTCGTAAATGGATATATTGCCCTTGCGATAGATCTCTCTTCCGGGCGGACGCCGTCGGTCGCATTCGTGCAGGTGATAGGCATAGCTCTCCCTGAAGCGCATGTACTTTAGGCAGTACTCGCAAACATACAGCGTTCGTGCCTTGCCATATTCCTCGGGAAAGGGACTGAAGTACCAGGTGTCGATCTCGTAGTTGCCAAACTGCAGCTTATCAATGTACTTGATTTTGGTAATGGACTCGTGCTCCTTCTCCAGCGCCGCCTGCGTGGCGGTCAGCTCAGCATGGCTCTTCTGCACGTGGTTGATCTCATCGTAGCGCCGCTTCTGGTAGCGTGTCATCTTGCGGTCACTGTAGTCATAGCGATTGTTCTCGCAATAGGACAGATAGTAGTCCTTGTTGCCCGCCCGCTTCTGCCGCTCGGATGAGGCAGCTGCCGCCGCGGCGGCTTGTTGGGCAAGCATTTCCCTGCTAGTGCTGGGCTGATCGGGGGCCAATGGTGGCGCTGGCAGCACGGTAATGCCACCCAAGTCATCCGCATTGTCCGAGATCCGGTGTCGGCCCACCCAGCCATCCAGGCGGCGATTGAGGCCCACATAATGGACATAGTACTCATTGGGCGTAGCCGCATTCTCAGTGGTCCGGGACTGAAGCACCTGGCCACGGTGCACGGTGCCATCCTCGCGCCGAATGTAGTAGATCTTGTCGGGATTTTCGCTTATATCGATCTTTTGCATCATTGGGTCGCCGCCAGTTGTGATGACCGTCTCCCTGGAAGTGCTATCGTGCTCCATGGTCAAGGCATCGTCTTCGTCCTCCTCTTCCTCTTCGTCGTCTTCGCTGCTGCTCGTTTCACTGCTGTCGTCAGAAATGGCCTCCACGTTGGCGGTGAGTACGGTTTGAATGGGCAGTAATACGGCTGGCGGCGGCATGTTGCGCTGGCGAGGATCACGAGGCGCCAGTCGGGTGGGAAGCCCAGGTGTCGAATCCTGCATGTAGCGAACACGCATGTAGCTGGATAAGCCCACTGCTGGTGGTTCCTCGCCGTCATCTGTGGGCGAGGCTGGAGTCTCGGGGACTTCATCCTCTGCTGGCGGAGGTGGTGGTGGCGATGGGTTAGCCAGTGGCAGCCCCAGTTGTTGTGCCCCTTTAAGACGAAGAGGAGCTGGAATGGTGACCACCTCGGTAATGATGGCCTTGGCCGGCGCATCAGGATCCAAAACGTAGTCGTCTATGTTGGAGCCACTGCCATAGGCGTTGATGTCGGCAACGCAAATCACCGTATTGGAGGAGGGCTCATCCTCGGTGTCAATTTCCTGGTCCATTTCAGCTTCCTGCTCTTGCGGCTGCGCTTGTTCCTGTACCTGCAATTCAACTGGAACTGGTGATTTCACCTGCTCCTGACCCTCCTCCTTCTCCTCCTGCTGCTGCTGTGGTTGCTCCGGCTCTGGGGGTGCCTCCTCTGCCTCCTTGACATCGGCGTAGCCTGAGGAGCTGGACGACCAGCTGGAACTGGTCGATGTGCAGCTCGCTGGCGTACTGTCCTCCGAAATGGGACTGATATCGCGATGCTGGCGCTTCGCCGGTGGCTCCGACTCCGCAGTGGGCTCCGCTTGGACACCGCTGAGGTCCAGCGACTGCTCCGCCGACTGATCCGAGCCGCTGACGTCCAGACTGGCGCTCAATTCGGCCGCTGCATCTTCAACCGGCGTCCTCGGCGGACCGCCAATTGTGTACACATCGGATGGCTCCTGTGCCGGCTCGTGCTCCTCCTCCGCCGTTTGCTCCTCCACGTGGCCCACGCTGGGCGTCTGTTCCAGCTCCGGTTCAGACATTCTTAGCCACTAGATTTGTCCGATTGCGTATTTTTGTTCACTTATTTTGCAATATGAAATGCGGCGTAAAATGCAACCCTGAGTTCCCACAAAAAACTACACACATAATCGATTATTAATCGGGCGTTATCGATAGCTTGCGTCGATACTCTGCGCGCTCTTCGAAATTCAACTTTTTATTTTATTTATCTACCATTTATCTAACCATTAGAAAAGCAATTAAAAATGTAAAAACTGGTTTCGAAATTTTTATTGAACATCTATCCTACGAGAAATAACGCGCAAACAATTATTGGTAGTTCATTTGTGTATGTTGCCTAAATACAGACAGCTAAAAGCACGGCATGAATTTGGAATTCTTAAAAAATCTTAAATGCATCGATAACAAATGAGAAGTCGAGTTCTCTATGCTGATGGGAGTTGCTATATGCAATTACCATACACAGAGTTTGCATTATGCGGAGACCATTACATGACCCCGCCGAGTATAGATCAGATCGTGGGTTTCCCGTACATATATCAGTTATGTATATATCTATATAAATGTGACGCGTGTTCGCTATGGCCGCCGTTCGACAAATGGATTTGGTTTTGGATATCATTCATCACATCAAAAGTATTGACTAGGATGATCCCGACGATCTCCGGCTGACTAGCGCAGGTTCAGCTGTCTCTGCTGGCCGCGATCGTAGAATAGAAGATAGGCAGGCACGCTCAACACCTCGTCGATGCTCACCTCCCGCACAATCGTATCCGATGTGTAGAACCACCTAATAGGGATAGCAAGGAATTAGGATAATAATTACACATATAGCGAACAATGGCATCCATACCGATGTGCATTCCGCAACGAGCCGCGCCTGTAGGTCACAAAGTGGCCACTGTTCGCCTCTCCGGAGTGCACAACCACGGCCAGAAGCCGGTAAAGATTCTTGGGGAACATGGTGCCAAAGCCCTCGCCACCACCCACGCCATTGTTCATCGGCAGGCTGGAGGAATAGAGCGACATTGTCGAGCCCCAGGGAGTGCCAGCCTGCAATCGTAAAGCAATATGTGAGTTACTGATTACTATGTACACAAATTAGAAAGGGAAAGAACCATTTCAACTGAACTATTGAAGCCTTGGCTTTTATAGGGAAGTTTGATATTCTGGAGCATGCAAATGCAACACGAGCTCACCTGGCTGTTGAGATGCGGCTGCACAAAGCTGTAGGGAGCCATGGAAAGGCTCTCGGGGAAGTGCACGTAGTCCTTCCGCTTGCACACCTGTCCAGTTGGCAGCCACACCGTTCGCGCCACATGGATGCACAGGCAGGCCGGCAGTTTGGCGAACGTAACCGACTTGGTGTGCGTGGTGGTCTCGTTGCAGGAATCGCACTTGACGTCGCTTAGATCCTCCGATGTGATATACTCGCTGAGCAAGTGGCCCAAACTCAAGCCAGTTCTGCGTTGCTGCGGCAGATTCAGTGTGATGCTGTCGAACTTATCGTATCGCACAGCCGATTTGGAGCCGCAGCCATTGCACACGATCTGTGTGCCCATGGCGCCCTGAAACGGATGCGCCACCTGGCTGGGCATCATGTTCGACCAGATGGACACCCGGCCGGGTCCGCGATGCAGGCGCTCCAGCGATCGACAGGAGCTGGAGACCCGGCGATTCAGGCCCTCCTCCTGCTGCTGTTGGGATTGTGGTAGGCGCGGTCGAGACAAACGCTCGCCGCCCAACATAGGTGTGGCCAAGGAATCCGAATCACTAACTATCGGAAATCCAAAGGGTGTCCCTGGCGAAACGGCATCTAGGAGCAGGGATCCCAGGCGATCGTTGCCGTCGCGCTCGCAAACAGAGGCGGGCGAATCCGGTGTGTGGGCCTCGGAACGCACCAATCGCTGCAAACTGGTGCTCTCATCGTATTCCATGTTCAAGAAATCGGTGAGCATGGCACTGGAGGGCCTGTTAGGTTGATCTCCGATCCTCTGGCTGGCACCCAGACCCGCTGCCATGGAGCTAATCGGTCGGAAGCCCCCAACTGGCGTGGCTGTGCCCGCAAAGCTGCTGTTATCATCGTTATCTGTGGGCAGAGCATCCGACAGACAGCCGAGGGGCTGTGGTCGTATGGCCTCCTCCTCCAGGGAGGACAATAGCACATGGAACAGCTCATGGGCGTCGTGCTCCTCCTGTGGAATCACCCAACCCAAGGCATTCAGAGCCCGAAGAACGGCACCCGGAGAGTGGGGATCGCCGCGCAGGGTGGCATGGGTGCCATTGACCACCTCCAGGGTGTTCAGCATCGAGGTAATCAAGCTTTTTCGATCCGGCGAGGCGTTGTTGTACAATTGCAGCCAGGCAATGAACTGGGGACAGGCGGCCATCGCCTGGAGCAGGGTATTTAGGAAGCAGGTCCGCCCAAAGTTGTGGAGTCCAGCTATTTGGCCGCGGCGTTGGCGCAAGCGGGAACCTTTAAATGCTTCGCTTAAGTAGGGATACTACGCTATGGATAATTTACAACTCACCCGAAGGACCCCAGAAAACGAATGCTCCCACAACGGCGGCCACCGTCACTCCAGCGGCCATTAGAATCTTTTCGCTCTCCATGGCTCAGGACTAGTGATTTTTGGTTTTCTAGTGCGGATCACTGCGGTGCCGGGAACTCCTGATCCCGCCGCGAATATCACACATAGACCCAACTCTAGTTGGGAATTTAGACCGAAAAATTTTTGTGTCTCTTGCTGTGTTGGAAAGCGATTCAATTGTTAACACCACTGCGTGAGGCCATTACGCAACACTACGGCGCAATTATCGGTATCGTTTTGGCACGGAGGCAATCGAGTATTTCAAAAGGCAACGAAATCGTTTTACCTGTGAAGGCTAAGGCTATGAGCATTAAACTAACATAACTTTAAGAGCTAACATCATCTTATACTCGCTGTGTCGTCTATCGATAGCGACGCCATTCTATCGACTTTCGATAGGCACCCCAAACAGCTGTGCGGAAAGGGGATTGGAATAAAGGGAAAAACAAAGCAGGCACAACAGTTTTCAAATCGAAAAGGAAACATTCGGAATTCGGTTGTCGTTCGGGCTAGTTCAGAGTAATCAAAAAAAAACTGTTCGGAGTTTAAACAATATATTAAGAAGGAGTAGCGTAACCGTGTACAAATTGATTGCAAAATTTATAAGTGACTGTGAAAGGTGAATCAGCTGTGTGCGCAATTCAAAACAAGACTCTGGAACCTTCCCGTCGGTTATTCCTACTGTAAGTTTTTCAATTGGCTTTTATCTTGTTTCAATGCAGCCACTTTGCATCGTCCTTGTGTCCATTTCGCAATTTTCCAATTTCCCCAGCTGACTCTTGCTGCGCAATAGAAAAGTGGCAACAACAAAACATGAATACATGCACACACACACACACACACATACGCATAGACTAATCGCTTCTGTTTTCGTTGCTGCTTTATTGCGCCGTTTGTTTATGTTGCCCATTCGCTGCGCGGCCGTTGTGCAATTGGCTCCCATTTTCCACATTTAATTTTGGAATCTGTGCCACGCTGCTTGCCAAATTACATATTCTAGAATAATCGAGAATTTTCGAAAGTGTTGCATTTCATTTCCATTCAAATCGTTCGTATCTTTTCTCTTTGTCGCACATACAGACACACAAACAAACGCACACTTGTTTGCTCATGTGTGTGTGTGTGTGCGAGTCACGTTTAACGGTTTCCTTCCGTGTGTTTGCTTACAGTGGGTATTGGCTAACATTTATTTCGCAAGTGCCTTTGGAAAAACTATTTTTGGTTGAAAAATATGCGCTCACAGCAACTGATCTTTGAAATTTTGTTTTGTGTGGCAATCATAAACCTAACAATATTTCTCAGCTGACTTCTATATTTTTGGAACATCAGAAGCTAAACAACAACATTTGAACTTTACAATATTATATTGAAATCTAGAATTGTATGAGCAAGGAATACATATGTAACAGTTACTCGTATCCTACACCCACTGTATCTAAGACCCCTCTTTCCTTCCCAGGCGAGCTGACCGCGAGCGGAGCTTTAACGACGACCTCAAACAAAGAACAAAGAAAGCGCGAGTGCAGTTGCCATTGCCTTGTAGCAACCAAGCCATATAGACAGCTGGCTCTAACCGGTGGTAACCAAATTCGCACTTGGTCGAAACCAGTTGCTGCAGCTGCCTAACGTCGCAGACAACAAAGAGCTCGGAGGGAATATGGATGCCCAGGAGAAGAGGAGCGCACAGTCGGGACAATCGGGCGACCAGGATGAGCACGACGAGCGCCGGACCCGGACGGACAGCGAGAGTTCCGTGGACAGCATGACGCGCTTCGTGCTGCCCAGCTTGGATGGCACTCCGCCGAAGATCGTGACCATGGACGAGGTGTCCAGCATGTTCAAGAATCTGCGCAACATGGAGCTGGCCCACGAGATAGCCCTCAATCCGGACTTCAAGCTGCAGAAGTACGAGCCGCCCTCGGATAGGTAAGCATACATGCATTAGCCAATCAGCCAAATCATGGAAGCCATTCAATTAACATTCCTTTTGTATGTCCACAGTTTGGAGGGCGCCATCAAGAAGATGGTGCACAAGGCCTTCTGGGATCTGCTGCGTCAGCAGCTAGACCGCCAGCCGCCATCGTATGATCAGGCCATCCGGCTGCTGGCCGAGATCAAGGAGTGCTTCCCCCAGCTGCTGTCGCCCAACAACGAACGTGCCCTGGCCCACATCAACGAGGTGCTGGATGACTCTGTCATCCGCCAGCAGGCGGAGCGGGGTACCCTGGACTTTCGGGCGTATGCCAACTTTGTGATCAACATCCTGTCGCGATCCTGTTCGCCAGCAAGAGACGAAGCGGTGGCCGCCCTGCGGGAGATCGAGGATGTGGTTGACACGTTCCGCAGCATCCTCGAGCTGATGACGCTGATGAAGCTGGACATGGCCAACTTTATGCTAGGCCTGGCGCGCACCGAGATCGCCGCCAATTCGGTGCAGTACGAGAAGGAGAAGTTCAGCAAGTACCTGCGCGAGTTCCATGGAAATGGTGGGTTGCCGGCCGCAAAACTACAAGTGATCATTGGTTTATTTGGAATTCCATTATTTTCAGTTGGTTTTCCGGCCACTGAGGATTGGCTGCTGCGTCACCGGTCCGGGAGCAGCGTAGATGAGACCATTTACAATGCCTACATGGAGCTCATTGACTATCCGGCCGACAAGGAGTTCCCGGAGCTGCTGCGCATCGACAAGGAGCGCTTTGCCGGCCTGAGCTGGCGCGCCCAGCGCTTGATCTTGTGTGCCTCGCTCATCTCGGTGGCCCAGAGCACGCCCATCATTTCGCAGCGCCGCGAGAATCGCATAAAGCTGGCCCAGCAGCTGGACATCATTGTGCAGGACATCAAGAACCAGGAGTAAGATTTCTCATGCTCTAGCCAAGCGCTCGTTTAACCCTTCTTCAACCGCAATTCACAGCCAAGTAGCCACTGCCATCGAGAGCTGCTACGAGCAGATTCGTTCCTTTGTGAACAAGGCCCTGGAGCAGGAGAACATGCCCGTGATGAGTGATGACGACCAGGCGGCGCTGAAGAACCAGGTGCTCAAGCTGGCCAACAAGGCGTCGCCAGTGCCCAGTTTGATGGGTGAGTTTTCACTCGTTTATATGTTACAACATTATATTTGATCTGTGTAAATCCATTTCAGCCAAGCGATTGGATGGCTATGTGCGGGTAACCCTGCGTTCCAATGGCAGCATTCCGCCGCCGCCCTCGGGATTCGCCGACTACCAAGAAGAGCTGGTTGCATTTATAGCCTCGTTCCGTCGCCTGGTGTCCTACAACCATGCCGTATTCGGCGAGCACTTTCACCAGATCCTCAACAAAACGTTGGCCGGCGAGGAAACTGAGACTGCCGCTCCCACGGCCAGTGGCATAACCGCCGGCCAGGCCCAGACTGCCAAGCCTTAGGAGGGCGGGAGTGGATTTGTCTACCGTCTAAGGCAACACAAGATACCAGCATACAACCATCAGACACACCTGTAGGCGACCGGCAGATGGCGGAGATCTGCATGATGTTGGGGCAGCCGGAGTGGCGGACAGCATCTTCTGGGCAAAAGGAGGCGAGCAGATTGTTCTACGTTTCTTTCCATTTCGCAGATGTTTTTCCATATGACGTGACACTTGCGTAGAAATTTTGACGCACACCCGTAACCACCAAGTAGAAACCAATACTCCAGATCCAAATCCGCGTGCAATACAAATGGGATTTGAGTTGGATGTGAAGAATCAAGAACGTGTTGGGGCGTCTGTGATAACAAGAATATTCAACATGAAATTCAAATTTGAGGGGCCTACGAAAAGCGAACTCGATTGTGTGTGCTCCTCAATATTCGTAATCTTAACCCTCTCTTCAGACTTACGATAAATATACATATATTATATTATACACGTGTACCCACCCTAACCCCGTACTAATCCTATGTTTTAGAATGTTGTGACCCCAATTGAATTTAGTTAGATGGTTCTATTGATCAACAGTGATTCGACTGAATCTACACGAATATGAAGGCAAATACGTGTGTGGGTGCATTCAGATATATCTCTACCTAGTATACCGATATTGAAAATAAAATAAATGAATTCAATTGATTTAATCTTTTTGGTGGCGCTGGGAAATGTAATTCATATATAACGACAGTTTATTTAAAATATGTGACATCGGAATGAATTTGAATCTGAGAGGTGGCCAGATCGGGGAGAATATGTACAATGTCCGCTAGGTGGCGCCACATTAGGCAATAATTCGCCAGGTGGCGCCCTGGTGACGGTTTTCGAAATGTGTACTAGATTTGAATTTCATTTCCATTACTTAAGATTTAATAAAATGATTTAGTTCCTCACTGATTCACGGCCAATATAATAAATGCAGTGAAATTCAGTAGGTTAAATTCAAATACCTATCACCTGGCCTAGTCGACTTTAAAGCCCATGACCTCGCCTCGCATTCATTTGCAATTTTCGTTTCGTTTTCGGTTTACATTTTCCCTTTGATTTGCCTTCGGTGTGGGTTTTGCCATTATTTGGGCTATCTATGCGCAGCAAGTGTGGAAAAGTACTATAAGGTATTTCATTTGGATCGCGGAACGCGGAAATTGTAGATGGCATCGTTTCGAAATCGATATCACATGGAATCAATGATTTCGGGGCTAAGCACATGCGAAATCCCCATCAGAACTATATCCATCATCGTTACTATATTAAACTCATTTCCGTTTCTGCGCCACATAAAAAAAAAATACTATATTACGCAATGGCACCGGCAATCTTATCGAGGAAACGGAATGGATCGGTTTACTATTGCCATTGTGGTGATAAAGCACCAGAGAAGATTAGATTAACCAGCTCGTTCTGCTTGTGGATTCATTTAATCACGATCCAACCAACTACGCCGACTTATAGCCAATATACCATCGCATTTTTATGGTATTTACCGAAATTGCAGAAGGTAAATCCCAAAAGTAAGCGGATGAAGTCATTTCGGATTTAATTAACTTGTAATATTCAAACAGAATCGCAGCTAGCTAATTCCAAATTCATCTAGTTTTGCGTCAGTTGTAATTACAATTATCGCATAATGACGCAGGTTGATGGTTTGGATAAGATACGCCCTATATGGCGCACATAGGGTATCATAAACTATTTCACTTGGCATCTCTGCAGTTTTAATCATCCCAAGACATTGGAAGGTGTTGTTTTCTTATCTGCCAACATATGTACACATCCGTATGTATGTGTGTGTCTGTATATGTATGTATGTGTGTATGTGAGTTGCCCACTGATCATAAATGCCACCGCTGATTGACTGAGTAGAAAAATTGGAAACCGATTGGAACCACAGACCTTGAACGATCATTGACGATATGGAAAACTCGACAAGGGAATTACACGAAATGGGAAAAGCGAAGAGGAAGAGCGCCAGGCATTCGGAACTCGAGGTTTTTGATTATAGTGGCATTCTGTAATTGGGCCAACCTTGCAGAGTCGCGATAATAGTGATTTACCACTCATTTGCACCAATAGAGATAGGAAATTTATAAGTTGCCCCAATAAGTATGCTGTAATAAATGCCATATCTCTGGTCCTGTTAATAAGTTTTGAGCGTTAGCGAACTAAAATTAACGATAGATGATAGAGAAACGCAGTTCACAGAGCTATTTTCTATATTGCTTAGCGCCTAAAATAAAATGAGAGCATGGTGCAGATATTTTAGGAATGTGCTCGAAGCGCCATTTAAAGCACTTTAACCTTCATGTTGGGCGGTTACAGAAGGTCGGGTCAAGGAGGGTTAAAGCCACACATACATATACTCGCCTATATACATATATTACACACATCTGCAGAGAGAGAATGAGAGCAGCCGGCATATTGCATGAGAATATTTGCACGTGCTGTGCGCGAGAGCAGCGCAGGCGTTTTACCGTTATTCGACCGGTGCTTTCTCCGATGTCCTTCCACACTCACACTCTCTTTCTCACTGCCGCGCTCAGCCTTTCCTTCTCTCACGTTTCGGGGTAAGTTTCCCCTGAATGCGGCGAATTCTGCGAAAACCACCACCGCTATTATTGTTAGTTAATACACCACACCTATCTGCCCACACCCCGATTCGCCTCCCTTTTTGTCCAGCCGTTGCACTGAAAGAGAGAAGAAAGCTGGAAAGACAGAGAGAGGGCAAGAGAGTGAGGGAAACGAAAACAGCTGCAGTTGATGATAATGATAATGGTAATGATAAGGATAAGGATATGCAAAGTGACAAATAACTGCATATGTCCGAGTTAACCTTTTGAACTTTGACATTGTGGGTTCAAATGTGAGCAGTGCAATTAGAATGAGATAACGTAAAAGATGAGGATGATACGGATAAAATGTTAGGGGCGGGCACCTCAAACCCTTAACCTGCGCACTTATAAAGCTGAAAATCGGCGAATTAACCAAAAAAAATACCTATAGATAATCAAATCTTTTTTCTGCAATACTTTCATTTAAGGCTGAAATATCTGTAAGTCCCTCGAGTTGCAGGCTTCACTTTATAGCCTTTTATGTGGACTTTTGTACGCTGCATCAGCTGTGTACATCGATGCGTACATAATGTGCAGTGCCAACATGGACACACACACACACACCGTATGGATATAGAACAGCTTCTGCGCTCTGAGTTAGTTTTTTCCCGCCTTGCAATGCTCTTTTTTGGACCGATGAATTTCCATGCCCTTTTTTAGACACAAAACAGTGAGCTCCAAATCGGTTTTCACTTTTTTTTCGAGACCCCCAAACAAGTGGTGGAGCGTAGGATTTTACATGGGCATAAAGTGAATATCTATGTATACAAGCATATACATCTATGTACATACATATGTATGTAACTTAAGACGAGTATGCAGTGCAAATGCTTGAAGATGCTTTCAATTTTATTACCATTTTTAAACGATATGATGAACCGTTAAATGCACTTCTCCGTTGGTCAGAATGAGTTATGCGCCCATTTAAGGGTTAAAGCTTCCTCCTTGATCATTTTCCCAGCCATATACAGATAAATCACACACCTTTAACCTCCCGTTTTCCATTCCCATTTCCATTCCCATTTCCACTTCCCGTTTTTCCAGTGAGCCATAAAATGAAGGCAATCGATCACTTTGCATTATAAATCAATGCATGCTTCTTCTTGAAGAAGGAGGTTGGTGGGGGGTTGGGGGGAGGCAAGTGTGTCTGTTGGAGAACGGCTTACACAGCATAAAATGCGGAGAGAGCGCCAGAGAGAGAGAGAGAGCTTCGGCTGTTGCGTATAACCATATTTGGCTTGCATTTTGCCCAACTGCAGTGTGTGCGAGTGTATGTGTGCACACGTATAAGCTGCGCTCAGCATAGCCCCTCTCTCTCGCTCTCTCTCTTTCGCTCGCAGAGAGCGGAGTAACAGAATGAAATAATAAAAATATATTTGAACTTGAACTTCCCGCACCCGTCTCTGCGTGTATATCTAGACGTGTGTAAGTGTGTGTGTGTGTGTGTGGAGTCGACGCCCCCGCCCAAAAAAGAGCCGGCAACAAACACACCCAAATACAGTAAGCCCCCCAAAAAATAACACACTCAATTGCCAAACACAGAATAAGTGTACAGTAAAAGGCTTGTTTAAGTAGTTAAGAGAGATGGTAATTAAAGTTCCAACGTACATATGTATGTGCATGCATATGTAGGTTGAAAGATTCTGCCTTAAGGACTCACCACTGTACTTAGTCATACGCCCGCGTTCACTCCTTTTTCTTGGGCCGACTCCTCCGGCTGAAAATCTTCCATCGAATTCCCGATTATGGCCGCAGAATTGGCCGCGAGTCTCGAAGCGAATCGATTTATGAAGCGACTTCTACCTGCTAAGGTCCTCCGATGATGCGATGATGCGATTTGAATAATAACGATCGTCGATTGCCAGTATAATAACCATTTCTCATTTCGTTTTCAACTCCATTTGGCTGCTTTTCCCTTTTTATTTCGCCCTCTTCAGCGGGCTGCGTTGTGAGCGGCATTCGTAATCGCCTCCGTTTCCGTTCGAATGACTGATCAAGTGTATATAATGAGTATATACATTTATCTGGTATGGGGATGAGCTTCCTCCGACAGTGCCACCAACTTATGGAGAAGTAATCGCCTAAGGTCGTAAAACCATATATGAAACCCATCGTTTCGGGCGTGTTTACTTCCATCAAAATCAGCAGCCACCTCTTTTCCTATCTTTTCCTATCTCCAAAAGCATCGTATGAGTTATCTAGTTTAGCTGTACCAAGCTCGGATACTTAGCATCCAGCTCTGAATCGGAATACACCTGAATACCGAGCGCGTATCAAGGGAATACATTCCTTTCGATAGAAATCGAACGATATGGTCGAGTGCTATGGCAGATAAGTTAGGGGAAACCTGAGTGGAACTGATATAGTTTTTCACCTTGATACTAAAGCACCTGATGTTACGCAAGGATTTTCTATATATGTGACGCATTGCCATCGACTTTGAACGATTCCCTGTTTTATTCCTTTGATTTCCTTGCCATTCCCCTTTTTTGGCTTGGCGACGGAAGTGCTGTCAGCCACGCCCATTTCTGCACTGTCATAATTTAACACCCCCACAGGGCAACGTGGGAACAATGGAGCCTCTGAACAATTAACCCTCTGAACACCATCTAACATTCAACCCCAGATGGCGTCTAGATAGGCGAAATCCGTCCAATGCCTAAGTCATTCAAAAGAAAGCATTGTACTCTATATTAAATGTATTTATTGCTTCATGGCTTAAGTAAGTTATATTGGAAATTATATTAGGGAACAAGTCCCAGAGTTTTGGACTCCGCTTGAGATGCATTCGGCTCAAGTGATAAATATTCGAGATCTTTCATGCTTGT